ATGCAAAATTTGTATTTACAAACCTCCTCTTGGTAATTCCAGTCAGCTTCATTGCTGAATCAGTCTTCTGGTTATTTAATTTCTGGCAATTACATACAAAAATAAAAGCTCATTGGAAGTTATTATATGTTACATCTTGTCTATTTTTGTCATTCTAATTTACACAAGGGTAAATTCTTTATTTAGTTTGAGTTACTGTGCCTATCTGTGCATCTATATAATGATATATTTCATCTGGAAACATTTATAGAGAAATGTCCTCAAATCATACATAGTACATTAAAAAAACATATAAAAGAGGAATGTATATTGTAATATTGTTACTTTAAATCTGGAGTTACATTAAATCAGAATGTCATCTGATTCCTTTGGGGTAGGTAAATTGTAACATGGAGTTTCTCAAAGATGAAAACCTCTTGGCCCAAGATAACTAGTATTAAACTAGGCAGTTCCACATGTTTGCAATTTGTGGAGAAAGTGCAGACGGTGACAGAATAGTGTCTGAACTATTTCCCATTCTTTTTTAAATTTGTGCATAGCAAATTGATACACTTTAAGGTAGCAGCTGTTTAATGCTAATGCCAAATTATAAATTCATCTGGTACAATTCGAATATATGTTACATATTTTACATTAGTAAGCCCCATTTAGGATCACAGATTCATTTCGACCCCAATTATGCCACCCAATATAATTAGAGATTTAATCTTTGTGATAAACTAAACATGAAGCAAGTTTTGTAAATTATAGATAGTTTACAAGATCCTAGGAATATGTCTCCACACACAGAGTGAGCTCAAAGGGCAGGTATGTATCCACACAAAAAAATTGTGACAAATGCTAGGTTATGAAAAAATTCAGAAAAAAATGGATCTCAGTTGGTATCTGCTATATCACCTTTAAGTTAGGATGATTCTAACAAAAAATATTGAAAATTTTCTTGTACTGAAATAAAAAAAGCAGAAACAGTTCATTGAAGAACCTTAGGACTGAGATTCCTGGATTGCATCTTAGTAAAGGTGGTGATGCATATATTAACATCATTCACATCACTATCATATATTTTAAGTTATATATTTGCCTTTTATAAAATACTATAAAATCAGTTTCCTCAAAAGTAGTACACTTTTACAAGTTATATCTGAGAGAAATTCAGGGTTCTGTTAGACCCACACTTCTTGAAAAACAATATGTAACTTGATTTTTTGCACAGTCAACAATTTTGCAGAAAAAAGATACCTGATCAAAAATAAGTGAATATTTCTAAACATTTTGTATCATTATATTTTCCTTGTAGTTTGTTACCATTAAAAATAAAGACTGCATTACTTTGCTGTTCTTGACACTGGCAGAAAACAGGCTCAGATGCCTGGAAATGCCGGTTGTTTCAAGTAACTCTCCACTTACTCAAAGAAAAACATGTCACTTGGCCAACATGTTGGAGATTCAGGGCTGAAAAGCTGTTTTCTCCAGCCATCATTTCATTCCCACAATAAAAATGGAATAATTCCTTAGTTATATTAAATATGTTAAATATTATTTGAAAGCCCAAATTTTAACACACTGGTCAACTATTAATATTGTAATCCAGGAGTGATCATGGTCAAATAACTCTAATAGGTATGATGACAATGAAGAAAACTTCATTCCTGTCAGAAAAATAATTATTCCAGTTTTTCACTGTGTCAAGTAAGATGAAAACACTACTACTCTTCAATACATACATTCACTACTGAATTCTCATGAGTCATTCCAAAGCATCTAAATATTTTGATACCTTTATATTTTGACCAGCATAGTAATAACATTTTAGGACATCTTATTTTCTATGGACCTGACCAAAAGAATCAAAGTCAAGAAAAGTTTTTCCAGGAATTTTAGTGAACTTTGAATGAGGCCTCACGTAATTTTGCTGTGTAGTGCATTCAAAACACACAGGCATCAGGTCTGCGTAAGACCTAATATCAGACAATCACAAACCAAATGTGTAACTGTGAATTCATTAGCACGATAACTGAATTTCTTCTTTAGATTTAAATGGTTGTTCATCTACTAGACTCTATCTCCTGGGCTGTATTTTGGACAATGGTACTTTTGTCCCTGTCAGTGTTTAGGTAAATGAACTCTTAACTTTGTTACACAAAGTAGGACAATAATAAAAATACATAGTTAGATTCTTCACGGAAACTAAGGAACCTAAATTGATTGACAAAGTCATAGTAGGTGGCATAAATTTTTTTTGATCAATTAAATTGAATCTGACGTTCAGTAACACAGGGGTACATGGCAATCTGCATTTTGACCCACTGCAGAGTACTGAAAAGTTTAACAGTAGGATTAATTCCAAACTGTACATCTGGGCAATATATTTGAGTGTCTAGCTTTGAGTCTTGAACTTGCACAGCTTTCCTATGACTCATTAGATGCACCCACAATAAAGTGTTCATTTTGTAAACAGCATTACAATTTGCAAATATGAATCTTCAAAAGTAAATGATTAAAAACAATTTATATCACTCCACATACCAAATAAATGCTATTTAGATATTCCAAAATCAACAACGGAAAACAGTAAGCAGCAATCCATGAAGACTAACTCCCGTAGAAGATGGATATGAAGGTGAAATTAAAAGAACTATCTACAAGTTCAACAGGGTGACGTACAGCATAACCAGATAGAATCAAATTTGTTTGGGTATATATATGAAGGCCTGATCTAAACAAACCTACAGATGTGTTTTCAGAACTTTTTGCTACTTCCTATAAGGTCTCATTGACTGCTTTAGCAGAGACGGGCTACCACGCAAAATCTCAAACAGCACTGTCCAATACTGAAGCGCAGCTCCTCTAGCTTATTTTAGTTTAAAAAACTGAGAAAAGTATTTAGAGAAAGATACAAGATTGCTGCCATTAGGAATTTCCAGGATAAATGAATAAGTCACTTTTAAGAAAACAGAGAGCTTTGATCAGGGAAAAATTCTATTATAATAGAGTTTATTTTAACAGACCTTTAATCTACAATAAAAAGCATTTCCTCAGAGCGAGAGATAAATGTGGGCCTTAACAACAAAATGATCTGATTTTTTTTCATTGATTTTTTTCCTCTGGTCAATTCTTAACTTTCATTTCATCTTCCACCATCACAAAGAATCACATGAGACCTCACAACTGAAAAGCCACGCTTTTATTTTGGAACTTTCTTTTAATGTTATGGAATATATGCCATTTTTTTGTATCACCTCTATTGTTAAACTATCTGCTTCTCTGTGTCATCTATATACTAATCTCTACCAATGCAACTCTTAACATTGCTATCCTAAATAAAGTATTTCTGAGCGAGAGGACGACCTTTGCTGTACTCCTCTAGCAGTGCAGCAGAGTAGTCTTCTTAGTGACTAAGCTAGGTCATGATATTTAAGTGCATAATTCCATCGCACTGTTTATTTAAGATGAAAAAACTTCATTAAAAATAAAATATGAATAATTAATTGAGGAAATATCCACCTTTCTTATTAAATGTTCTACAAGTTTCTCTCTGTTTGACAGGTCTGACAAGATACTTAGAGTAGATCTGTAGACACTGCAAAAAAGTATATTTAAATCAACCTGTGTGACACATTAATGTCTGACAGATGTTTGCTGATTTAACTATACTCATCAAATACAACATTCCTAGATTTCTCTGTTCCCTTACTAATGGAAAACTTGTTTCTTTGTAAGAAAACTCTCATCAAATTATTAGACATAGATTGTTTTAAATTTATGTCTACATATAATATGTTTTCATTTTTTAACATATTCTAATAGATGCATTATCTTTACCATCAGTAAGATTTGTCAGAGATCTTTTATGGTACTTGACTTTAATACACTATTTTCTTTTCAATCTCCAATCATCAGAACCAAAAAAAAAAGAAAAAATGGCAGCCTGTACAACCCACCTCATTTTGTTTTATGAAAATACATTTACATTAAATTGAAGGTGATTCAGTGGCCTGATTACTATAGCATAAGATATTAATATGTACATAATGAAACAACGTACACTAAATCTTTCAATAATTTGTCATAATTTATTTTGACTACATTTGGCATAGGCAACAAGTTAACCCTCAAAATAATGGAAATGAAATGCAGGTTACAAAACTATGAATATGGTCTATATTACTACTGTATCAAAGGTCTCCTGAAAACTCATTTGAAAAGTTGTCAAAGTGAAGCAGCATTTTCAAAGGAATTCTGCAAAAGATTTTCTTAACTATTTCTATCAACTCAAATCACTCAGGAAATTAAATAAAAGTACCATAGATGTAGCATGCTTTAATCATTATAAAGGTATTCTGTTTGCTTAGAGACTTCAAAGTTATTGAATAGATTTAATAATAGCATATTATATACAAACTGTGGGCTTATATCACACAAAAAAACATGTATGTGTGCGTTCTTATGGTGCCTTTTTCTTCCCTCAATATACCTATGGTCCTATCCTACTTTCCTCAACTTCATGACAGCTTAAACAAAACACACCAATTATTTCTGCTTCTAAATGTAGATGTCGCTTAAACTCTAGATTGGAGACCCAAGCACATCACATTTCAGAGGGTGAGTCCATGTAAAGAGAAATTAAACCTTCCTATCCTATTTGACTGATCTGATTGGAATCCTATCTTGGTCTCTCTTGCTCACTGGCTATTTTTATTTCCCTTCTTCTGCCCCTACTCCATTGAAAAACAAAAGCATAAGCTAAATTGCATCTGGTTTAAGGACTTTTCATTTACCAAAGCTTTCTCAATTTTATTTCTTACAAAAAATTATTCAACCAAATTAACTAGATGGATATGTCTTTCTTGTCACGAGTCACATGAGACACCTTTGAAATCATGTAAAGGGAATAATTTAATACATTCTAATAATGCAATTCATTTTTATTAAGCAAAGAACCTTATACCACCCTGTAAGCCACTGCATTCCATTTCTCTTTTGTTATTTCCATTCCTTACCTCTTTGTTGGCTCTGTCTGCTTGAACTAATGTTCCATTCAGACATGGCTCTACATAGTGAAGTTCTTCATTATACTGTAGCAGGAAATGAAAAATATAACAAAAATTTTAATTAAAAGCTTTGAAAGATACAAGTTTTATGATTTAGAGCTACAGGGAAACATGCCCATAAAGCAAAAACAATCAGGTTCATTTTTAAAAACTGACCATGTATTTTTTCTTTTGTATGGTTCTTAGTGTTTCAGAAGTTCAAACTTTTTTAAAGTAACATTCAATTTAATGAATGCCATCATGGGGTTAGTGGGTACTCCAGCAGAAACATCCTTCAGAAACCTAAAGGTTTCATCCTTTAACAGGCACTAAGTGAACTTAGACAATGAAAGAAGACACGGTTCAGCCAAAAATAATAAGAGAAAACATTTCATATGATTTATATATGCATTCACTCTGTCCTTCCTCTATCTCAGCGGGAATAAAAAGAGTCTTACAGTGAAACACTGCAAAATGCAGCTTACACAAGTGTCTGTCGTTGTAAACTCACGTTGCCTCTATCCTCCTACAGCTCTGAATTTGTTCTGCTCTCTTCAATACACCACAACTCCTTTCTCTGCACATATGTCTAACCTTAGACCCCTGCAACCTGTTCCACATTGGACATCTGTCATCATCATTCATGTGAAGAGTGCAGTATGCACCAACACTCATTAATTACATAATTACTACATAACTATTGTTGCACAGGGAAGAGTGTTTAATTTGAACTGCATCAAGTTATATTTGGGGCCCTGCGCCAGATTTGATCCTCAGTTAAAGAAATACAAATCCAGAGTTACTCTGCTTACCACAGCTGGATATATAGACTATTTACATCAGCATCAATATAGTAATTGGTGCATAAAAAAACATATGCTAGAAGGTTATTTACACATCATTTCTGCAGCAGATTTGCATGCTTCCCTAATTATTTTATTCCAGTCAATGTTAATCCAATAGATGAGTGCCTGAGGACATGTCTATTGCTCCAAAGGTCACATGAAAAATCAAGATGACATCTGGAACACTTGCGAGTCACTGGGAAGGTCCTGTGTGCATCTCAGTGTCATAGCAACTTATTGATCTGATAAACGATGTGCTTTCCCCTGCAGTTTCTCTCTACAGACTACTCTCCAATCTATCTCTTGACAGCCTTTGCAAAATAACAACGTTAAAACTTCACAGCGTCTCACATTATAGGCCATAGTTAAGATCATCTTCCTTTCTCATTTAAGCAAAAACTAAAAATCTGTAACAAATGCTGCCTCACAAGCATGACTAACTTTCCACCACTTTACACCATTTTTTCAGAATGTTCTTTAGTTGATATTTTCTTTTGTTAAGTCTGGGTTCTTCGGTTCAATTTTTGTAGGTTTTGTAGCTTTTGTTTGATTCCTGCATAGAGACATACTTGTCTTTATATGACACGAAGCACATATCCATAATTGGTCAACACATAATAAAATCCTAGAATCTGTCTCTCCATCATCTGTTCCAGTGCCTCACACGTGCAAGTGAAATGAGAATTTCTGAATGTTGCAGTAGTAGCAATTTTTTTTTCCTAGACTATCACTACTAGGAAGCAGCTGAAAATATCCTAGTATACCAGAGCTTGCATTTAAGTCTATTAGTTTTCTATAAGATATACTATTTTGAATACTATCTTGAGTAACTCATGTCACCAGACTATCCCTGCAGACTTGTATGTCTGTCAGCTGCAACACAACCCAGCCAGACTCCCAGCAAGGTCTCTAATACTAAACAGTTGTGTAATATAAATGATGCCCACATTTTTACCAAGGACATGCTTCAAGTTCTTTAACAACCCCATTTAACAGCATCAACCTTCCAAAAAAACCCAAAAAGTCATTCTGACGTAAGCAGCACAGATTAGAAAAGGGGAAAATCTGTACCAGAATCTTCTCAGTTCCTTCTCACCTTGAACTCAGGTATCTGGCTTTTCTGCAGCATTTAAGATTTTGTACTCAAGTGAAGCTGCATCTTGACATTGGGCCAGTGGTTTTGTTAATAACTGTTGACTTTACCAGCAATATTTGATAGAGTTCTTCAGTTGCCTGAGCAAGGAGATTTTCAAAAACAGATTTCCTTGCTTTAAAGTCATCACTTTTCACCTTTCTTATTTCCTGTTACAAAACTAATGTACCTGAGGAAAAGCCTTCTGATTTTCGAGAGCCCCACATCCACTCTGTTTTAATGTTTCCTAGTGTTAGTTAAGTCCAGACTGCCAAACTCTGGCATGTGGCACCTTTGCTTACTACAGTTGTAATAGCAGTGCTGCAATAACGGAGATGGTTGACACAGTTGTAGAATCGCCACTGCTTGGCTGAAGGGAACAGGAGGAAAGCAAAACACAATTATCATCCTTTTTGAGCTCATATTCCAACACCTCGGTCTCCTTTCATCTGTCTTGCAATTTAAGCATTTGACAAAATCTAATTCCTCATCATTTCATTTACTATTATACATGTATCTGTTTTATTAGTTCATATTATTTTGCCATGCTAGATAGTTCTTTACAGTATAACATGATATAAAATGTGTGGGCCCAAATCAGAACTAGCAAACAAGTACCATATAATTAGGTAGGGGGCTGCTAACTTATATTGCATAATCAGATACTACCTAAAACTTGATAATATGTCTGGAGGTATATATGGTTCCAGCACAGCTAAGCAAGTAGTTTTTGCAGTCATTTTTCATACTTATTCTTTATTGTATTTAAGCTCTTTGGAGCTTAAGGTTCACAGAAACAAATTAAATTCACCTGCTGTTATGGAACAATAAAGAGATAAAATTTCACACAATATTAAGCATACTCAGAAATTCAACACAGCCTAACAAAGACTCAGCAGTGAAGTCAAACCATAGAAATTTGTATTTCTCAAGTTCTGCCAGTTTTACCACGCTCAGCAAATAACACCCAAGCACAGTCCATTGGAGATTCGCAGTTGGTCCAACCTACCCATCGATGCTTGAATCAGGTAGGCTGAAAAACAAGTTTATCCATGACCTATTTTGGATGAATACAAGAAGTTTTTAAAAAGTACCTCTGTAGGCACTGTTTATCATGGTAAATTCCACAAATGAAAAACAGGGAACTATTGCACTGGGCTTTGAATTAGCAAATAATACTCTTCTAATCAATTTTGCTAAAATAGTGCAACTGTAGCATTAAAATTGATTTAACAATCTCAGCTCGGTTAATATTTTGTTCATTTACTATTGTAAAAGCATTTATAAAATCAGCATTGGGCAAAATTAGCACTCTTTTATGATAATATTGTTAATTTAATGCATGACTTGGAATTATACTTCAAAGTGAATTGGAAAAACATGCCTCTTCCCTCATTGTTCCCGATATATCTGTTCATGCACTGGTGAACTGACCTTAAATTTTAAAGCAGACAGTACAAAATCAGTTTTCAACTTTTTTTTTTCCCCCCTCTCCTAATTCAATCATCTACTCGATCAATTTCAGAGAGATTTGCAATTTTTCAGATAGATCAATTTCAGATAGATTTTGCAACAATCTATCCATGAAAACTAAAGTAAATTTTAACATTAACTTTTTACGTTTATCTTCTGGAAAAACTTGCACTTTTAGTTAGAAGAAAATTTAGTAAAAAAGGAAATGTATCTAGTGGATATGAAAGAACCCAGCTAGTACACTGCTAGTGGGATTTTTGCAATCCTACTGCATATTTGTAAGCGCAATTTTTTTTTTTTTTTAATGATGTTAGTGGATCGTGACCATAATTCCCATTATCTAATGACAATCTGCATTTTCCATGGAATACTGAAATGGCTAACAAGAACCTGAAAAACATTGTGAAAAGATTCTAAAAACAAACAAAAATCTACCAGTAAAGTGCATGGTCACAGATTCTGCCGGTCTACTTTTCAGTCAGACTTGGGCTTTTCCCCTGCTAAGCTCCATTTCCCTGTCTTCCATTGACCCACACAGTTTTGCTTAGCTCTTCAGCACTGCCGCCTCACAAATGCCCAATATTATTTTTTAAACAAAGGCTGTCTCTTTCAAAGAATAAATTCTCAGGAAGGTTTCCTTCCTCTCACTTCATCTTCTCTCTTGGCTACCTTAAAAATGGTCTTCCTTCTTCCTGCCACACATGTTAAAGTCTCTCATTTTTGCATAACTTTTGCATGTGCTTCATCCCACCTTCTATGCAGCCCTTGGCCCACCTTCCATCGCTCTTCCCCTTGAGCAGGAGACACAGCTGGAGAGGCACCTCAGGGAAGAGGCCCCACAGGGAACAGTGGCCATGGGATGTCCCTTGTAGGGCAGGGACGTCCTGGAGGGGATGGTGGCCTGGGGCAGCCACAGAGGGGATGGCAGCTGTGACTGTGCTGGGGCAGAGAGGTGTTTAAGTTGAGCCCATAAAATAGGGAAAATAAAAGGTATCCACTTGAGTAAACAGAGATTTAACTTGAGAAAGTAATATTCGGTTACTACTTTTTTTGAACCAAAACCATTCTGCCGCTAGGTTCCTTGGTGTTCCTATACTACTTTGAATTCATTGCAGCATACGCTTTCACATACATTGTTGTGGATGAGCCTTTGACTTTCCCAAAGTACAAATTACCAATTTCTCTCAAGAAAAAGCATTGATTTTTCTTCCTGAATCATTTACAGTACACCTGTCACAACTCCTTGCAAGCACAGCGATTACACACTGAGCATACATTCAGGTATCCTAGTAATTACTTAGTTGACACATTTTTTTGTTGCTTAGAAAACTTACTCAAGCTCATTACAATTTCGTTGAAGCATGATGAACCTCTTTTTGATACACAATGTAATTGTGCTTTCCTACTGTATAGGTTTCTGGTAATTATGTAATAAACAGCTGAAGACGAATACGAAAGACATGCTGAACTAACTGCCCATCACCTGTTAAGAACACAGTCAATGCTTGGATATTTCAGGCATATCTATTTATTTCTCCATACTGAAGCAACCATTTGCATTGTTGCTAGCAAACAGAAGACTGTTATTTGCAACTCCCAAACTCACAGCAGTTTCTTTAAGGGGATTCAATTACTACTCCTACAAAAACTCTGAAAACAGTGCTACCTGAACAAGGTGGCACTGGAAATTACAGCATCTGGACCATGAGATGTCTTCAAATATTCATCATCTCCCTACAATAATTTTCAGTTGTATTGCGGAATGTAAAATATGAGAGAGCAACAAAAGGTGGAATGAAAAAGACAGAATCCTGAGACACTCACAGCAATTATATTGAAGAAGTCGTCATCTCCGAGGGTATCCAATATGGACGATACTGTCTGCTTAGCAATAGTCAAGCGAAGCCCTTTCATACTGCCACTGACGTCAACCAAAATGACCACATCTTTTGGAGAAGTAGCTGCCTGAATGTACCTAAAACAAAAGACAAAACACAAATTGTTTATGTAATAAACGATTTTTTATCCTATCATATTTCTTAAAAAGAGATGGATAGCTCTTTGCTACCTACCATTTTCTATTTCTGCAGTCAAATGCAATGACTCCATTCTCATCAGGTTCCCATTTAATACCTGTTTAGAAATAAAAAGATTATAATTAAAGCAATTTGTAACAATAGCTGCTTAAATTGTATTTATCTGAAGAAGTGGGGCGAGGCATCATTTAGAGGAGTTTCATACCTTATCAATTGAACTGTTATTATATCATGTCAATACCACACTATGCTAACATTGGAAAAATACTGTATACCTTATCAATTGAACTGTTATTATAACTATGCTAACATTGGAAAAATACTGCGCCTTGGGTTTACTGTAAGGTGAAAGCCTCTTCATACCTATCTGGTTCATAGCACAGAGTCTTACTAAAGTATTGACATTCTTGGGCACTTATGTGGAAATGCAAAGAATTAATAACAAATTAAAATTAAGTGCTGCTGTACATACTGATAGAGCACATCATTAAAGAAAAGCAATCAGTCTTTCTAACAAAGGACACTTAGAGCAAAGTAGTCTGAACTTTAGCTTCCCATATCTGAAAACATATATGAATTTTACAGGTTGTTGACTGTTTTGTGAACCAGCTGATCTTGTCTCCAAGGCAGATATGAACTGACAAATTTTTGCCAGCTCGTATTTAGGTTAGCATAGATATAACGGGCATGAAGTAATTGCAAGCAGTTAGCACAAAAATTGAATAGTTTAACCACTCCAAATTTATGCTTTTTATTTTATTCTGTATTTTATTTCTGGTTACAATGTTAGACTGCCATTTCAAAATATTTTTTTAAAAACTAAATTTAATTTTAATTTAAATTCAAGTCATATGAAATTAAGTATGTTGCAGTATCAGATTTTATTATGATTAGTAAGCACACTTTCAATACTGGAAAACCTTCTATCCTTCTCCCCCAGTTGCTATCAAGCTCAAATCTTTTAGTGTTTCGGTTCTGGCAACCATATTCAGTAACTGTGTGAGGTACACAAAAACCAGCTGCTAAAACTAGTGGCTGTTAACAGCACAACCATCTCACTTAAAACTAACTTATCACAAGAAACAGCAAAATCATCTCACTTCAGTCCCGCCCAAGTGAGATTTATATTCAGTATATTATACATTGCATTTGCTTGAAAAATCAAAATCAATAGCACTGTCTGAATCTCTGTAGTCATTTACATTTTATGTATTCACTTTCTGTTTTCCATTTTTGTTTCAAAGAATATGTAAAATAGAATAAATTTTTATAAAATATAGTACCAATTTCTAAACAAAAATTGCTAGAAAAATTAAGAATACTGAAAATCTTAATTAGAAATCACTTTCTCTGAAAACTGGGTTAAGTAAAATCGAGCTTGCGGTTATTTGTGAAAATCATGATTTGTGACAAAACTCATCAGGCACTTGCAGCCGTAGTATCCTCCATTGCTTCCTGGGGATTTGTGTTGTTCTTACCTGGGTATTGCCTGAAAAATCCTTTTGCACTTCCGAAGTACTGCCAGATGAGAGAAGGGTCGCGATCAAAATTATCAACAAACACCTTATTTAAGGATTCGGACCAATAAACTCCATTCACAATGGCTGGATCTGGGGAAAAAAAATAGAGAAGTAATTTTACTTAATAGGATCCTTTGAATCCTATTATCTTCAGCTTATTCAGATCCAAAAAATCTCGCAATTGCAAACTGCTGCAGAATATCTTTTGGTTTTATTGTCAATTAAGTGATTCAGAATAAATTACATAGTTACACATTGAAAAAATGATAAAATACAGAGAAGAAATACTAGGCACATTCTGCAGCTAAGAATTAAAATTGCTCATTAGGCCCCTTATTTGGAGATACTGTATCACTTCGTTCTGCAGAACATAAATGAATTATCATAACAACAGATTTACTTCAGTTTACTGTCCTTATCATTTGAATATTTCATGGTAACATTGGATATAATCTCCGTTGTTTATTTTTTTTTCCTTCAGGTTGATAAAACTTATGACTATATTTGAAAGCCTATGGTGAGAACCTCTTATTTAAGTGAATTATGGTAAACAACCAAACAAAATCTACAGAAGTTAATTAGATAACTGTATAGCAAATAGCATCATTATTTGAAAAACACTGGGCCCACGTTTCATACCAGTTCCTAACAATGACCTCATTACTTCCGACTCCCACGCCGCAGGAAGCAGAATGGAAACCTGGCTGTTCGGAATAACCCACATCACATCACCTCCACCACCCAACTCCTAAAGCCCGGCCTGCCCAAGTGCAGTCCTAGGCTGAAGAATAGCGACTGAGCTTGATGATGGCAAAACCATAACCAATTAATGTAGCTAAAAAGTTCTCCAGTCGCAGACTGTGATACCAAGGGCAGCTGAGAGATAAGAAACTATTAAGATATTCTCTATTCCCAATTCAACTATACATGAAGTCAGCAGTATAGAAAGGAAAAACAAAACTGAAATCACAGTGGTATTTCATTTGTGAAAGTGTTCACACATGCACACACAGTAACATTCGTTCAAATATTTTAAAAAATGCTTCCCTTTCTTAAAAGAATGGCACTGATTTCACAAGACTGCTTAGAATGGGATTTTAATGGAGCATAGAAAAGGTGAATTCTTATCTCGTGTTACATTCCTCAAGGAAAACAGCACAAGAAAATGGGAAACATCTCAGATGGACATCTCTGAATGTTCCTTTCATCTAAACATTTAGGTTTACACACAGGAGCTACTGAAAAAGCAAGGTCAACAAAACAGATTTTGTTTTTAAAACATGTCTAGCGCAGTTACTTGTTTCTCTGGAAAGTGAAATAAACACTTTAAATCCATCCAGCTAGACACGTATCAAACAAACCAACAGCACTAGTCTCACGGTACAACGCCAGTCGCGCCTGGCTGGCAAGGACTGCAGTCCAGGTGCTTTCCAATAACAAGCTGTGACTGAGACACCACAAATTAACTGACAAGAGTGACTAATCTGAGATATGAATCTGGAGAAAGCGCTTCTGTTTGAGCTCCCTCAAAACATTGCCTGGCAAGGACCAGTTGTTCAGCACCAGCTTCACATTCTTGGTCCACCCAGACTTTCCAGCACTAGTTCAACCATAGATACCGGTGTTCTGCTCTGATACACAAGTCCTGTTTTTCAGTAAAAAGAACAGTGGTATTACTGGGTCAGCATTACAGCACTGAAATAAGGAGACAATGCTAAATTCGTATTTGAAAAACAGTGATGTACTTCAGAGAGCTGTTGGGTTTTGTTTTTTGTTTGTTTGTTTTTTTGTTTTTTTCTTCTCTTAGAAGTTGTTTTTCTGGAAAGGTTTCTTTAGAGGATGAGCAAACTGTCCTCCACCTCCAGAGGACAGTCAGTTCTTGGTACACCCTTCGACAATATTAGTGAAAAGGCAAACTGGTCACAAAAGGAATAATTCCATCTTAATGTCTATTTAAAATAAGGTATAGTGTTTCTTAGCAGCTTACACTCAGATCTCATTCCAAGACTGCTCAGTATCAGTTCAATAGATATCACTTACCCTCAGAGCTAGTTTTTAATGCTCTTTCTTACTGACTCAGTGTCACAGTGCCACTCATCTGAGCAGAGCCTCCCCAGGCAGAGGGGCCTGACTTCTCCATTTACTCCAGCCCTATGAGATCACAGGGCAAGTTCAGCTCTCCAGGCTGTTAAGCTCTAATATTGTATGTGAAATACTTCTACTGGCATAAAAAAAAAAGTATATAAAATATTACAAGCACTTATTTAATACATGTGTATGAAACTCCGTGCCTCTACAGCAGCAAAGTACTTTTATTAGTTCAACTCTGAACAATCACTTAACATAAACATGTTATATGTATATATCAGTGATATACATATATATCAGCACTATGGATGAGAGAACTCTACAGACACACAACAGGGAAACTTTTTTCCTGAACATGATAGCTTGAGCCTATATTCTGCATTATGTTGACAACACTAATCATCCGAATGCTGATCGCTGAAAGCATTAATCCTCTGACTGAAACTAATAGGAATTTATAGCTGAAAGGAGCATTAAGCAGGGTGTTTTAAATTACAGGGCACAATTAAAGTGCAATCTATGATGAGACAGGTTCCTTTAAAATGAATCCTGGTGACACTTTATTACCTTCGTATACCCTGCATATCTATTATGCCAGCTGTAATTTTTGCAGCGTGGCAAGCGTGACCTGTAAGCTACATTTTGTGTATCAACCCTTTTTATAAAGAGGTAAATTAGGTCACACTTGATTTAAACCTTACAATATTGAACAAAGTGAAGTGGAAAAAAACATATATCCACAGGTCCAAGCCAAAGGTCTATAGCCTACAAGTGAAAATGAAGTGACTTTATTGGCTTCTGTATCTTCAGACAGAAGGATCTCGAACCCAATGTCCTCCAAGTAAATTTGACAATGGTTGTTATGTGGATGCAAGTCTGTCCACGTATGTCATCCTAAACGCAACCAAGTCCCTGATTGCTTATGCTAAATAAAAATCTGGAGACCCATCTTCTAACAGTAGATACGCTTAACTTCTTGTTCTGGCCAAATTCCAACTTAACAATTAATGTTTTGCTTAAATTGTCCACACTAATTAGAAACAGCATTCTTAAATTTTTATATTGCTGGTGGGTGTCACCTGTATCCCTAAAACAGGGACATTTCAATAGCAGATAAAGAAATGCTTGTGAATATTTGGGCAGAGGGAAACAAGGGAGAAAAGATAAAAACTTAATATAAATGTAAAATCATTAGTGTGACGTTCTGATTCAAACATAATAAGCATGAGTAGCTGCTGCAACAATTCTTAAAACATAGATTTGCTTTTGGCAAAAACAGCGGTCACAGCTAAAAATAATTAAAATATTCTTTTTCCCCTGCCTTGTAGATGGTCTGGATGGCAATTCTATAGGATTTTGTTCAATACTGTTTCTGCAGATGCTATCTGTTTTTTATTGCTATGTAACATAAAAAAAAGCCCCCAGACAGATAGATATACTGACAGGAATCCGAAATATAATTATCAACGAGCAGCACCAACGCGTGTAGCAATTAAGCTGCTGTCACAAACGCTGCTGACCCTAAGAAACACAACTGAAAACTCAACCAAGATGTGCAGACTGAAAGATGTACAGCAGCACGGCTAAAGCTTGCATTGGAATGAAACGTATTTTGATTCACAGAAACCATAAAAACACCTAAAGATACGCCAAGACGTTGGAAATAAACAAATATTACATATTAGTAATGCATTTGATCTTCTAATTATCCCTGCAAGCTTCATCAGAAAGAAGGGATATCTACAGAGGAATTCAGTCACTATGAAGGAAATGCAAAAAGCTTCCCTTTGTTCCCATAATCTGCTTTATTGCCAAGAAAGAGCATTAGCAGTCATCCTCAGGGCTCTTTTGTCTGTTATACTGCATGTGTAATATAATTTTTAATTTCCCCTGGAAACCCATCCAAGATGCAGACATCCAAAGTGGTGTTTCTTCATGCTGACCTCCCTAGAAGCCCCTGCGCTGCAGAGCGGTAACGTCGGGCAGCAAAGCAGCACCAGCGAAGCCTGTAGGGCCAAGCACGGGAAAGGAACTCCAATTCCAGCACCCCTTTGGCTCAAAGGTGGCAGCAATGTCAGCTCGTTTCAATGGCATTGACAACATATTTAGTCTGGTCATATTTTAAGAATAACAAAATACACATTCTTTGCTAGGACATACAGCAACGATCTAATAATTATATCCCTCAACACCCATAGGAAAGCTTTGCAGGGTGGTCCAGCGCTTTCAAGAGCTGGGGCTGGACGCCAATTTTGGCAACTGCCTTTGCCTTTTCCTCTCTCTTCCCCTCCCTTCGGCAATGCGGACGCATGGGCTCACAGATCAAAGCATCTGGCCATCTGCACACACAAAAGAAGGTGTTTGTCTGTTTTGCCTCATGTGCTGAGAGCCATTCACCAGTGTCACGAATCCCGCTCCCTCCTCGCACGTACAGGGCTTGGCAAAGGCTTCAAGCGCCGGACTGTGGAGCACAGTAGTAGGCAGCCCCAGCATCCACGGCTGCCCTAGCAGCTCTCCTCTTCTCCTTTGAAGCTGCAGCAGAAGAACTGGAGTGTGGCCAGACACATTTATTTTTAGCCTGAGTTTCATGACAGTTGGGTTTTGGGGAGGGTTTTTTTGTTGTGTTTTTTTTTTTTCTTCTTTTTTTTTCCTCTCTCTTTTTTCTTTTTAAGTGAACAAGGTGGTCTGAATCTCAAGAAAAGTCTAGAACTCAGTTTTAGTTCATAGAAAAGCCAGAATTATAGCTGCAAACTCTTCACTAACACTACTCTGCAATAGAGATACAGTCCCGACTCCGGGAATAGCTTGCCACTTAATGAATTATAAATACCTCCTGCAGTAAATCAGTGCACCTTCGAGGTCACCCCTCCAGCACTGACCTGATCTGACCCTGCTTAACCGCTCAAATATAACAGCTAAGGGCAACCAGGACAAGGGCAGGGCTCAAGTGGTTGGAGCAAAGCTCTGAAACAGGGTTTGAGCAGCATCCGTGAAGACGGACG